CTGAACTTAGCTTCTCCCAGAATTCCGCTTCACCGCTACGCAGGTACTCCCAAACTGCTGGTGCTTAACAGCTGCGCCACTGGTTCCCGAAGAATTCCCCGTTTGGCACCGGGCGTTGAGCAGCGAGCCGACTTTTACACGTCATTGCGCCCGCCATAACACCAAAACAGGTCCTAGGCTTTTGTGCCTTGACAAGTAGCCCCATTAACCAGGGACGACTCCCGAAAGCTCCGCCACACTCCGAAAACTTCGGAAACAGTGTCGAACTCCAGCTGGAACAGTGTTGTCGCAGCAACCCCGACAATTTCGGCAGGTCGTCGTTCACCCAACTCCTTGCTTTTGTCGGTCATACCAGAAACGCACGTGCGCCGAGCGCACCCTTTTTTTTTTCCCCATACTGTCGAGCTCGCGGTACTCCCGCATTTTAACCAGCACAGGTTAACCGCAGCTCTGTCCACGTTATTCGTCCAGGACCGTCAAAGTAGTATTAAACCCGAACTTGGAACCTGGTGTGGAAGATGTGAGCCGTTGGAAAGTCTCGGCCGGTAGGTGACCATTCTGCTACCGCCGCTTAGCCCAACACTGGGGCACTCAGCTTGAGATTTCCGCTACGCCGCCCTGCTCTTCCTGAAGTGTCGAAGTTCCCCACTCGTCCAACCCGGTCTGTCGCATCTCCGTACGTTTTATCGGTAGAAACCCCCGAAAATCGCGGGCACTAAACGATGCACCAGAGACGTTGTTTCCTGGGGCGCTGGCCTGTCTCCAAGGCTGTTTCCCTGAAAAACGCAGGCGCCACTGTCGTTTTCTGGGAAATCGGCTTGGCGTGAAGATCGTCCACGACATCCGCAATTGTCAGTGCCGATTTTATCGGGTGCCAGGAACAGTTGCCGCCGATACTGCAGAAACAGTTGGCACGAAGGTGGCCGACTCCGAACTTTTCGGAAGTTAACGGCGAACGCCGTCCCACGCTGCGTCGCTCCTGCCGGAAGTTATGCTGACGCGCCCACCTGGCAGCAATCCGCTCCAGTCCGGACAGGACAACACACCACTCCCGCATAATTCAGGTAGCTGGCACGTGGCGTCTCTCCTCATCAGGATAATTCATGACGCACATTCCTCGTGCGCCTGGAGAGGTCCACAGCTGTCGTTTTCCCACGAGGCGACTGACGAAGTCCGCGTGCGACGTCTTGAAAATTCCGTCGCCGCGTAACGACGGCGCCAGTTGCCGCTACAAACAACGGAAATGAACGCCACTAAAAGTACGTGGCAAAAACTAGCGACAAACACAGCTGTCCGTTCCCGGGGGGAGGGCGGGGAACGATCAATCCAGACCGTCCAAAGGAAGGGATCGAGTGGTATAGAGGCGCACACGCTATTGTAGTTGTAGGAGCTAATCATATCTAGCTCTTGGACAACCGCTGTGCAGCCTCAGGCCCTCCAGCTATCACTCCTTCCCCCCCCCCGAAAAAAAATCTCGGGCATGCGGAAGCGACTAGCCTAAGAAAGCGCTATGAATACCAGATGTTATGAGTGGGAATGGAACAACCACTCAATAATGGGAATAGAACCTCGGAAAAACAATGTCTGTCTACAAGTGACGAGCGAATTGGCTAAAATAGGGCACGGACGTGCTAGGACGAGCTAGGGCGAGGACCTCGGGACGTGAATGGTTTGGTTGGGTGTCGAGGGTGTCGGAACGCGACTCGGGGAGGTTTGGGCCGACAATAATGGCCGAACCTGCGAGTTCGAGGTCTTCGGGTGTACGTGCTGTAGTTCAGCGCAGTAAGGAATGTTAATTCCTTACAAATACGCTAGTAAGGGTTACCAGTAACCTAAAAACCCGTGGATGTGGGGGGGGTGCTCCTGGCCCAAATTTCCGGAACGGCTTCCGGCCCTGGTCCTGATTTGCCTTTTTTTGCCTCAAATATCGGTACAAAATTCCCACTGTCGCACCCACGAGGCCTTCAATCAAGGGATCGAACTGACTGTCATCTGGGGGGGAATTTGCACTTCGGGTGCCCAGCTCAGCTTTTTCCAAATCTCGCTTCCACCAAGTGGAGATCGGGCAGCCTGTACATTTATGTTCATCACTGAACGGGCAGGATTGCGAGGCAATCAGGTTTGAAGAGGACCCAGCTGCAGCAGTTGGTCTGGAAGACTTGAGCAGTATTGAGGCATAACTTCCTTGAGTTTCGGATCGGACGGAAGACATGAGCATTGAGCATGAGCATGAACATGAACGGCAAACCTGACTGGTGAAGGGTCTGCATTGGACCCGCGCTTGGCCTATCCACCTTTACCACACGAATTCCCCCCACGTTCGGAATGGTCCTTCGCAAAGGAACGGCTTCTACCGCCATTGAAACGGACGAAAGCGTCCGCTCGCAGTTGAACCAACGAAAATGTCTTCACTGGCTTTTTGCATCTTTCGTGTACAAGATGAAGTTAAAACTCGGGCTCGTTATTGTGCAAGGTTCGTCATCATGTCAATCTCAAGGCTGGGTTTATCGTTCCCGATTTACAGTATTTTCACAGGGGGTGCCGCTGAGAGGGTATTCACCCCCGAAAGTAGCTCCTGAAGACCAGATCCGGATACTCTTGAAAAACAACCAGAACTTTGGTTTCTATACAAAAAGTTTACTGCTCGATTTAGTGTTTCTCGAGTCAGGAAACCGGATGTCAGCTTAGGCAGTGCTTAACGTTTTTTCCCGCGTGGAGTCTGCCAAGCTTAGGCCGTAGGAACAAGGGATTACTGTCTACGCACTCAGAAATGGTCAGGGTGGAAACAAAAGTTATTATGCCGCTCAGTTTCACGGTGTGAAATTACCGCGGGCTAAGTGTATTAAGAGAGCACCAGGTACAGTGCGAATGCCTGCGAATCTAAAAATGTTGCCTGGCCTGATGCTGCCCGTTTACCGCGCGGTTCGACTGGATAAGTATTGTACACATATGGATGTCCGTATTGTACACATATTCTCTCCCAAGTACAAACCTTGTTCCTATTAAAGCGAGGGTCTCAAGAAGCAAAAAACCAAACCCAAAGGTTTTGGTTTCGGGGGGTCTCGAAAATTGCGAGGTGTGGTAAGGTGCTGGTTGGGCGCTGTAACTGTTGCGCAAAGTTCGTCAACCCAAAACCAAAACCTTTGGATATGGTTTTCTGCTTCTTGAGACCCTCGCTTTAAGCCCTTGGGCCATATGTTTGAGGGTCGGTGAAGACAACAAATAGGGTAGGAGAGAATATGTGTACCATACGGCCATTATTGAATGAGGTGCGACTTGGTTGATCCCCTCATACTTTCGTGAAGAAATAATGTGGGAAACTAGTGGGGCAGCCTACTGGAACATGACACGCACGACAAGAATCTCCACAAGGTGATGGCTGCCAGACAGGACAGGTTGCAAGTTTCAGCGTAAGCCAAACCTAGCTATCCAAGCTGGAAATCAAGGTCCTCTTTCAAGGCGAAGTCACGCGGTTCCAGCTGGAAAATGTCCAAACGAATCGAGATCCAGCCCCTGGGCTCAGGCCAACAAGGGAATTACCCTTAATGTATTAAATTAAAATCTGTTTACGACCTGATTCCGTTTTTTGCGTAGTAAAGGTTTTTTATGCCGACTGTCTAAAGGATTACTTTTCGTGTGATTCCTTGACATTACAGGTTACTTTTCTTCGATTCCGTACGAAGTGCAATTGCCTGTAGGAAATCTGTTCGTGTGTATCACACCTTCCCACCCTCCCATCTACTTTTCCCAACTTCCTCCACTCAGCAAAGCGCGAGGTTAGTTGCCGGAAGTTTTTCTACTCCTCCAACTGCCTGAGGTGTAGTATCCGCGAGAAACACTCCCTGGGGTTTCGGCGGCTTTTCCTTAGCCCTGGCCAAGGCCATTTGCCTTGAAGGATGTTTCAAACCAAGAGTTGCTAGCTCTTCGACGAATCCGTAAGCTACGGGTAAACTTTCGGATACTCCGTCCGTTAACGGGTATTTTCAGGGACGATTCCGTGACCTAACGGAATACCCTAGGCTTAGCGAGAGCCTTGTCCAGCCCCTCCCTGCACAGCATGGCGAGAGGAAGGAGTGAAGGAAGGATGTGTCTGCCAATGTGGAAGGAGGACAGAAGGCCTGTCCTTTCACCAGGGCTTACGCTAGAAGGGTAGCTGCCTCAAATTTCTAGAAATTAAGAGTTGTCTAGACCCAGAACCCGATTTTAACAGGCCGGTTTCTGCCGAAGCTCTGAATTTGGCCGAATCAATGAGTCTTGGAATTCGGGTGCATTCCGTGACAGGTTTTCTTGAAACCTGACGGACTAGTCTCGCAGCATGGCGTTCAGCAAGGAAGAAATCCCTCCGCCACTGTGTGGAGAAAAATCTCCATCACGAACATCAAGGGTAATTTCGGGTTTGGAACTTAGCTTCCTTTTCAATTTCTCCGTCATTTGCGCCCCAAACATTAGACTAGAAGGCAGAAAATCCCTTCCGCTCAGGCAGATTTACCGCTCGGAAAACTTGGAAGGATTCCGAGTGAAAACCCCTTGGATTCCAGAAAAAATTGGGTATGATTGGACCATAACTCAGCACCTTCCAAACCAAAACTCCCTGGGGCCTAGCATAAGCCCTGCCTTTCACACACCACGAACAGAACTCCCCTCCCCCGCGCCCCTAACCTCCGCCTCCCCTTCCCCATCTCCACACTCTCCCTCCGCCCAGCCCAGGCGGAAAAAGGACCACTTCTGTTCCGTCCTCCCATCTCCTGTGTCTCCTATTTCTCCTCGCAGCAGTACGCGACGGGGGCCCACCAGGTTCAGAAAGGCCCACGCGGATTCCATCACGGAAAAACTTTCACAACGAGAGGCGAATCAGATCATCCAGTTACAGCTAGCAGCTTGCATTCCAGCGTGTTGTCTTAGCGCGTGTCTGCCTGCCAGCGAGCAAACCTCGCTGCCAACTCCGTCCCTCACTTTCTCCACCCCGCTTCATAACCGACCTTCTCCCGATGCTCTTCGCAAAACTTCTTCGTGCTAAAAAATATCACTATTCCTCCGCCCGTCCGTCAGTCCTTGGTCCCATCCCGTCCCCTCCATCCACGCAACCGACCAGGTGCACTACCTCGCGCATTGTCCTCCGCACTGACCTCTCTTGAACAAGCAAGCCTGTATGTGTACTTGCATTTGTCAGAATAATTAGTCTGCTCCACGTCGTAACACCAAACGTTCTGCTGATTTCACTATGGAAGCGGACCTCGTAGCAGCGAAGTTCGAAATGGACGAGCTTTACTCCAAGATAACGTCATCCATGGCTCCTTCAGGCTCGTCAAACCACGCCGCTAGCCGCGATCCCCGCGTTCCTGAAACCGGCAAGCCCAACCTCGGCAGACGCCTAGCCGTCCGCCTCCTTGTCGGCGGCGACGTCGAATCAAATCCCAAGACGCTCGTCGCAGCCGCCGCCGCAAATGCCGCCCTCAACGCCGCCGCTAAAGGCAAGGCCCTGGCTCCCGATATTGACATCCCCGCTAACGTCAAGCGCGTTACTAGACCTCCCGTGGGTAGCTCCCGCCTATCTTCCGTCACTTGCGCGGCAAATTCCGCGCCAGCGGATACGACAGGGGAGTCCTCCGCGGGTCCCAGCAAGCCGGCATCCGCAGCGGAAGCTGCGCCAGCCTTGCGAAGCAGCAGGTCCGCGCAACACGCCGTTGTCGCGCGGAAGCAGCGCGCGGCCAGGCCTTCCGCCAGCAGCATTTTCCGCGCCTCTAGCGTCGTGTGCGAGCGACAGGCGGCCATCGCGCTATCTCTCGAGTCCAGCAGCAGCATCGACAGTAACAACAGCACCGCGTGCGAAAAACCGTCACAGGACGACCCGATGGACGAATTCTTCGCGATAATGGAGCAGTTCGTCGAGGAGCCGGAGGAGATGGAGTACCTCCGCGCGTCGGAAGCGGCCAGGCGGAACCGGAAGGGCGCAAGCGGCGCAAACGGTGCTGTTGCTGTCAGCGGCCGGCAACTCGCCCACCAGAAGTCTCAAAATAAGGAGTTCGCCCGCCAGCCGTCATTTCAGGAAGCACCCGCGGCGGCACCGCTGTCAGCGCAAGCTCCGGTCATGCGTCACCATCAGCGGCAGAAAAGCTTTGCTGGTGTCTCAAGTCCCGCCGAGCGGAATCCGAGCACCAGCGGCCCGGGTGCAAATCCCGCCCACTCCGGCACGTTCGAGCTGAATCCTGCTTTACAGGCGCAGCAACGCGCCGCGGCGCCGTCGCAGACTCACCACTCGCGCCGGCCGAGTCGCGTGGGAGACATGCTGGATTCCGCGCCCTCTCTCTCCATGCGCGAAACTCCCGTAACGGTAACTTGCAATGGTAACCGCAGATCGTCGCACCCCATGTCTCGCGAGCGGTCGCGTTCGTTCTGCGATCGGGTTACCACAGTTGAGCCGGAGGAAGCACGGCTGGCTGCGGCGAATACTGCCACTGCCTGCCGCCCAGCACCAGCCACCTTCTCGCGGTCAGATTCGTTCGCCGTTGGTACAAACGTCAGCAACTCCGCGACCTCCGCCGCTTCGCGGGAGCAGCGCGAGCAGCAGCGGGAGGCCGACGCGTCTCAGCAGCGCGAGCTCGAATCGCTCGTCGACGCCCTGAAAGCGGAGATTCGCGCCAAAGACCAGCTTCTGGGAGCTTCGGAGGGCGAGCGGAAATTGTTGGAGGAGGAGCTTCGTGGGGCGTGGGAACACGTGGCGGATTTGGAGCGCCAGCTAGAGGGCATGCAGGCGGCGGGCGCAGCGATGGAGCGGGAGATCGATTCGCTTCGCGCGCAGGTGAACAAGCGCTCCCCCGGGCAGAGGCGCGGCGGAAGCGACGGGGACAGGGCGGTGGGGAATCATATTCTGGAAATGGAGCGGACGCTGGCGGAGCTTTCGCGCAAGCTGGCGGCGACGGAGGGTGCACTCCAGCGGTCGGAGGCGCAGAAGGCGGAACTGTCGGGGAAGGTGGCTGTGCGGGAAGACGAGCTTGGGCGGACAAAATCTGCACTGCAGCAGGCTGAGCTGGAGAGGGATTCTCTAGCCGACGAAATGGAAGCTGCACTCGCAAGCTGGGCGGCAGACAGCCCTCGGATGTCCCCGCCCGCTGCAGGTCCCTCCGCTGCCGCTGGCGAAAGCCAAAAGCAGGAAGCTGCGATACTCGTGAACGCCCTCGAGGCCGCTCAGCGAGAGTTACAGGCCGTGCAAGCCGAGCGAAATTCGCTCCTGATGGCCGTCGGGCAGCCCAGGCGACCGGAGCTGCGATCCGCAGCCAGCAGGCCACAGTCGCATCACAGCGGGAGTCGCACGTCTAATCGCTCGCTCACCCCTCCCCCAACTCACACCCGCGGATCTTCCCTCTCCACGTCTAGCCGCAGCGGACCAATGGAGCTGCAGCGGAATTTCGGCATGGAAGCATCACCACCGCAAATGACGACGCAGCAGAGGGGTCGCCACGTGCACTTCTCACCGCGCTCTGCGGACGTGAAAGTCTCGGCTAACTAATTTACCAATGAAGTTGGCAGCTTCTCCTTCTGTCTCGCCAGCTTCCTCCGATATCCTCGTTTCCTCCCCTTGCCATGCCAAGCTTATCTTTTAAGGGTCTAGGCGACATTTGAGAGCGCCGAAACCCTTGTTTGCGGCAAGCTCCTTGGTACTGGTTGCCTTGCCGGTAGCATGTACGGTTGTGGTGACCATAGGGAGTATCCGCATGACCTGAGTCAATGCTCACTCAGCCTTTTTGTGGGGCCTGGGTGGTACCATACCTCTGGAGGTTTGACTTACCTGAGTTACCCCATTTTGTTCTCATGGATGTCTGCTGTATGAAACCTTCAGGGGTTCAAGAGCGTCTTCCTGAAGTTGAATTAGACCCAAGTAGAATCAAGTTCGAGGAAAAGCGTACTTAGATTTGGTACTGGACGGAGCAGATGCTGATGCTGGTGCAGAATTGGCTTCCCTCACGAATCAATTTTGGATCAGTACTTGGGGCGTGTCTCCAGAATGTTGCGTACGCAGTTGTTAAAAACTAATCTAGCTTCAGAGCCAATGTGCCAAGGCATTGTCAGCGACACTCTGGAGGCACGCTCTGTAAAAGTTCAAGCACAGCTGTCATGCGTGCACCATGATATTGTGGGTCGTGATGAAACGTCAATCCCTGTGATTGTACACCAAAATAAAATAATAAACCACTTTCAGAAGAAACTGAACCACAGGGAGTGTCACGCACTAGCAGCAGCTACTGCCAAGAGTGGATTATGGCCGCCCAGAAACCTAGTGTATAAGGAAATAGGATGAACAAAGACCCGTCATGTCTACTCAGTGTACAAAGACTAGGTGAAGCCTATACAGCCCGGAAGAAAGCCGGCCAATGGAGCCAGGCTGTAGGCGCGAGAGATACGAGTATCGTTGTCTGACATGCCAAGACGTAGGCGAGCAGCGCAACAGACAGCGACACCGAAAAAAAAGCACTGGGCGAACCACCACCTTGCAAAAGTTACAAGTTCGTCCGCGTTACTGAAGCATCCGGAACAGCTGTAGACGGACCAGCGCCGCTGCTCAGCAAGGGGTGGAGCAGGTGAGGGGGAGACGTGAAGCAATCGGCTCGGCGAAATGGACACGAGGGTTCGACTCGACTGTCTGGCGAACAGTACCGACCTTAGCGCCAGACACCTGCTGCAGCTGCTGCTGTTGGATGTACGTCACAGACAACGCGGACGCAGATTTTCGGAGGGACCTGCCAGCTGGGTTGTTCACAGATTGCCGCCCGCTCGGGCGCACGGCGGCCATTAGTGCGTCCCTCTCGCCTCGCACCACGCGAAGCTCACGCTGCACGCCGTCGAGTGCCATCACGAGTTGCTGAACCTCTTCTTGGGAGCCTGACGTGGAACTGGGAGACGATGACGTGGACGATGGGGAAAAGGTTCTCGATGAGTTGCCGCTTGCGGAAGTTGCGGGGCTGTCACCCGCCCAGCTTGAAAGCGCCGCCTCCATTTCCTCCGCGAGTGAGTCCCGTTCTTCCGCCGCCTGCTGAAGCGCGAGCTTGGACTGCTCGAGCTCCTTCTCACGAGCGGCCAACTTCTCCGCCAGCTCCACGTTGCGAGATTCGGTAACAGCAAGCCTCCGAGACGGGTCTGAAGGGGATGTCGCCAACACACGCTTCGCCGATCGCAGAACTTCGTTGGCATGCTGCAGCGAAGCGACTAGCGACTGGGCCTCAGTCAACTGTCGCTGAAGCTCGTCTGCGTTACGCCACGCGTGATTCAGCTCCTCCTGCAGCATCTGCTGCTCCTTCTCCGACGCTTCAAGCAGCTTGTCCTTCGCCCTGATCTCCGCTTTCAGCGCGTCGACTAATGACTGCATCTCAGGCGCCGCCTCCTTGACCGAACTGGCCCGCTGAATCGGGGGACCCTTTACCATCGGCGACGCGGGAGGGTTCCAAAACGAGTTGAGGTCCTTCAGGCCGCCCACGGATTGCGTCCTCTCGTGCGCCGAGTGGCTGCGGCTCTTCTCGAAATCGCGACTTGCGCCCCTCGCCAGCTGCGGCTTTTGAGTCATCTTCGGGCTGGTGGCGGTAAGGGCCATCGGGCCGCTGTGCGGCTGATTCTCAATCATTCCGTCCTTCGACCAGCTCAGCTCCGTCGGAAAACCCTGGAAGCTCGACGCAGGCTGAGGCTTTCCTGAACGGCCAACCTTGACATTTCCGCCATTTCCGCCGATTTTCCGCGACGCCTCCGCAATGCGCACGCACTCTATTTCCTCCGGCTCCTCAACAAACTGCTCCATGATCGCGAAGAACTCCTCCATGGGGTCTCCCGCTGGCGCTTTGGGCAACGCCGCTGCTTTCCGCACCACCTTCTTTCTCGGCGCACCAACCGGCTTCTTCTGAGGGAGCGTTTGCCCGGGAGTTCTGGGGGAAACGCGGCCGTTGTTCACGGGAGGCTTGCCCCGCTTCATGTCAGCCATTGCTGACATGTCAGCGCCGCCAGGAAATTGAGATTGGCGAGGAAAAGGGCCGGAAGGGTTGCTAGAGGGGTCCATGTCGCCGACAAGCAGTCGCATAGCAATGCGACGACTAGCTTTAGCGTTATCGACGACTCTGTCTGCCTGCGAATTAGGGAGTGCGGAGGTTATCTTCGAGTGGAGCTCGTCGAGTTCAAAACGAGCAGCTATGAGGTCAGCTTCCATTTCTGCTCAACTGCAGGATGGGTAAGACTGAAGTGGAGATGTGGATCTTACGAAGGTATTCGACATTCAATGCTCAAGGCTTCTGGCAAAATCAGAAACTCTTGGAGAAGAGGACGGTATCCTAGCCCAGGGAAGAGTCCGTCGGATTGCGGGGGGAAACAACCTGGAAGTTGGGGTTTGGAAGTTGTGGAAGGGAGAATCCCACGAGATGTTTCCCTGGGAGATGGTTCAAATACAGACACGTTTTCATCTCCCAACTTCAACGACCCACGTAGGCCATGGTGCTTTGCCTCCAAAGCAGAAGAAGTTCTTCCCTTGCAGCACGCGGCAAGTTCATGCAAGGAGCCGGCCACCCAGGAAGCGCCACGAATGCAAGGCCTGCATGCAACCAGCCAGGAGCTCCGCGTAGGACACATTTTTGTGGTGACTATGGTGGAGAAGCCTGCGGCATTGGCTGGTTCAGCAGCTTCCATCGCCGTCAAATGGAGAATGGAACAAATTGGTCATGGCGTCCTTTGTCCGATGCCAGCTCAGGGCATTGCTGCCAGAACTGTACATCGGTCAGCCTCCTTCCTTGCTACAGCTGGCAAGAATATGCTATGTGCCCGTCCTTGTTGGTTTTTTGTGGTTAGGCTCGCGAATAGGCTCGTTTTGGACATTTTCTCCCATGATGCGCTGGTCACATGTTATTTTCTGCGTTGACAAGCCCATGAGCAATGAAAAGTTTCGTTTGATGGGAGTTGATGTCCGCAAAATGCCCAGCCCGAATCTGGCCCTAAGTGCACCCCCCCCCCCCATGAATAATTCCATCCACATTCATCTAGCGCGACTCGTGAACAGAGTGCTCTAAAGTCTGTAATAACGAATTGATGCTGCATATTCCGCTGAATTTGATTCTCAGGCGGCACAAGTTTCTTCATGGCGTGACATGGCTCGCAAGGTCGGCATGCACTGGAGTGATTTGGCATAACGGTCTGGCGAACCAACTTGGCTTTTTGGTGAAGTTGCAATGTTTGTTGACCAGAGACGGAACAGCGCTTCGTCCGCATTGGTCGCGAAACTGCACGACAGCAATGCTCGGGCACATCAAATCATGCCGGAGCTGCAGCATCTCAGAGAGGCACACCAAAGACACCTGGGCAGTGGGCACTTGAAGGGGCAGCCAAACCACTGAGTGTCTCTAGAAAGTTTGGCGACAGATGATTGGCTAATATCAAAACTGCTCCCTGAATATGAGGACGATTGGCATGCCGCGTAAACACCAGAAAATCCGGCTTTATGCATGTATACAATTCGAGAGTGTATCGAGAAGCCAACGATCTTGTATGTCACATTGTCCTTGGACGTTAAAGCGAGCGTACAGACCAAACTCTAAGAGTCGAAGGTTTTGAGTCCCTCGACGCACGAAAACTAACGCGAAACAAACACGGTAACCAAATACCGGCAGGAGGGGTGCGATTTTGATTTGGGAAGATTTTGATTGGCTATGCGACTCACCACCAACCCAGCGACAGAACAGGAAAGCCTCTCCCCCCGCCACACCAAGACCCAAAGCTTTTGCTTTTTACTCTGTACTCATTTTAGGGCGCGCCACGCAAAGACCTTATTAGCAAGCTCTAAGGCATTTCCTCGCCGGTGCGCCCAAGTACCTCGCCCGTTGCCTCGCTTCCCACTCCCCGCTCCTCGCAGCAGCTGCGAGAGCGCTGCCCCGCTTTCCCACTCTTCCGCATTCCCTGTTTTCCACCCCGCCCACTGCATCTGCCTGCATTCGCCTCCCCGATTTCCCACACTCAAGCTGCCACTGCTTTTCCGCTTTCCGCCCAATCCGCTAGCCCGCGTTCCCGCGGTCCCGCTTTCCGCTTTCCCGCGTCCCCGCTTCCCCCCAGCACCCATTTTCCCCTCCCTTTCCCATCCTCGTCGGCCATCCCATGTCTTCCCGTCGCCAATCCCTCCCTTCCTATCCCCACGCCCTTCCCTTTGCGTAGCTCACTGGTCCATTCCCTCACTCAAGCTCTTGCCTTGTCCTCCCGCTCCTCCCCCTGTTATCCCTCCCAACATTCCCACCATATCCCTAAATCCCCTGTTTTCCTCACACTGCCCTTCTCTCTCTCCCGCGTTCCGCCCATCTCTCTCTCCGCCGCAGCCCACCTCACTCTCCCCCGCTCTGCGCACCTCTCTTCCCCTCCCACTGGCTACCTCTCTCACGCCTACTCCACGTCATAATTCCTCCAACTCCCTTCCCTCATTACCCTTGCTCTGCCCACCTCTATCCCCCCAGCTCTTCCGAAGGTGGGCTCTGGCGGGGGGGAAGGTGGGCTCTGGTGGGCGGGGAGGTGGGTTCTGGTTGGGGGTGAGGTGGGTTCTGGAGGGGGAGAGGTGGGCTCTGGTGGGGGGGGAGGTGGGCTCTGGTTGGGGGGGGAGGTGGGCTCTGGTGGGGGGGGAGGTGGGCTCTGGTTGGGGGGGGGGGGAGGGGGGGGGGGCATTTCGGAGCTGGGGAGGGGGCTCGCCGCCCGCTTTCTCCCTCTCTCCCTCCCATCTCCCTTTCTTTTAGCCCTGGTCGCGATCTAGGAACTCCCTCCCTTCCCTTCCCATCCCTCCTTTCTCACACTCTCATCTGCCCATCTCACACTCCCCGTATTCCCTCATTCATCTGACTACCTATTTCTGCCCCCCCCCCCGCCTCTCTCTGAAGCGGTCCTTGTATTCATGCCCAAACCTGAGTACAGGGCTCGGCACTTCAGGGGTTTGACAAACCATGCATCCTAACCCTCCTCTGCCCCGCTAGCCTAAGGTACGTCCCCGCTTCCAGGACTACAAAGCAGGGTCTAGGCACTCCTCTCCCATTCACCCGTCTCCCTTGCTCCCCTCTCCCGTTCTCCCCTCTCCCATGCTCCCCTCTCCTCTCCCTGGGTAGGGGGGATCCGGGCTCTCTTTGGGGGCGGGAGGAGGGCTATGGGAGGGGGGGAAGCAGGGCTATGGGAGGGGGGGAAGCAGAGCTATGGGGGGGGGGGAAGCAGGGCTATGGGAGGGGGGGAAGTAGGGCTATGGGAGGGGGGGAAGCAGGGCTATGGGAGGGGGGGAAGCAGGGCTATGGGGGGGGGGGAAGCAGGGCTATGGGAGGGGGGGAAGCAGGGCTATGGGAGGGGGGGAAGCAGGGCTATGGGAGGTGGGGAAGCAGGGCTTTTGGAGTGGGGGAAGCAGGGTTATGGGAGGGGGGGAAGCAGGGCTATGGGAGGGGGGGAAGCAGGGCTATGGGAGGGGGGGAAGCAGGGCTATGGGAGGTGGGGAAGCAGGGCTTTTGGAGTGGGGGAAGCAGGGTTATGGGAGGGGGGGAAGCAGGGCTATGGGAGGTGGGGAAGCAGGGCTATGGGAGGTGGGGAAGCAGCACTTTTGGAGAGGGGGGAGCAGGGCTATGGGAGGGGGGGAAGCAGGGCTATGGGAGGGGGGGAAGCAGGGCTATGGGAGGGGGGGAAGCAGGGCTATGGGAGGGGGGTAATCAGGGCTATGGGAGGTGGAGAAGAAGGGCTATGGGAGGGGGGAAAGCAGGACTATGGGAGAGGGGGAAGTAGGGCTATGGGAGGGGGGGAACGGGGGGTATGGATGGGAGGCATTGGGGCTCACTCTTCTCCCCTCTTCCCCCCCCCACACCCGTTCTCTCTCTCCCTCTTTCTCTCTCACTCTCTTTCGCGCCTCGCACCTGTTCTCCCCTCCTCCCCGCGCTCCCTCACCGTCCCTCCCGCTCTGTCCCTCCCTCTCTTGCGCGCTCTCTCGCTCTCCCCCCCTCTCTCTTCCTCCATTTCTCCCACTCCACTCTCTCATTCTCTCTCTCTTTCTCTCTTGTTCTCCCTTTCCCCCTCACTCTCCATCCACCGCCTGCCCCTTTCATTTTGGGTCGTTTATTGCCTTGGACATTCAACCCCCCCCCTCTCCTACAGCCTGCTCCCATTCTCACCTCCTACTTCCATCCTGTAGGTTGCAAGGTGCGTGGAAAAGGAGGTGAATAAGGCCTAGGCTAGAGGCCCCTGGCTGATCCTAGCTAGACTGTTAGGGGTTTCCTAGGTTGTGCTGCATTGTGTGTCTTGTTCTTGCCTAAGAAAAAATGGCGCTCACGACCGCTTGCTTGCTTATGTTTCAAAATCAAACTTTGCACTCAGTGGAAACTGGATTCCTGCTATTTTTAAGTCATGTGCTTCATTGTGTAATTATCGTCTCTAACCTGTGTAAAAGTAGATGTGTTGTGCTAATTTCTTAGTTTTTTGTTTTTGTTTTGTTGAATACATGAGCCTCACCAACACAGCACAGTGCTTTTCTCGTTAAAAGATGTTTACTGTTGATTTATGTCAGAACAGTCCTTTGCGAGTTCGACGGGCAGCGTCGCCCGCTGTACCCTTACGACCTCGCCAGTTTTGGCGAGACCATTTCAGTCGTCACGAGGCCCCTCGCGTTTCGCGTGGGGCCCGCCCCATTTTTGCGACACTTGTGCCCCTCGCCATTTTCGCTACCTCCAACTCAAGATTCAAAGTCTTTGAATCTTGAGTTTGGTCTGTCCGCTCGCTTTAAGGCCCGTGTCTACATTTATGGTTGCTGTTTTCCAATCAAAACATTTGAAAGAGGGTAACCTAATAAACTGAGCTACTTAGCCGCTAACTCGCCCAAACCCTTAAAGCGCGGGTCTCGAGAAGAAAAAAACCAAATCCAAAAGGTTTGGTTTTGGTTTGACGAAATTAGCGAAGCAGTAACAACGCCCAACTAGCACCCTCACCACACCTCGCAATTTTCGAGATCCCCCGAAACCAAAACCTTTGGGTTTGGTTTTTGCTTCTCGAGACCCTCGCTTTAAAAACATTTGAATCCGGCCTCGATCACAATTGTGTACAGATTTGGCTTACCCCAGGATTTCGATCCCCCTCCCCCTCCATTTGCGATTCCCCCTCCCCCTCCAATTGCGATTCCCCCCTCCCCCCTCCACCCTCCAATTTTGATTCCCCCTCCCCCCTCCAATTTCGATTCCCCCTCCCCCCTCCAATTGCTATTCCCCACTCCCCCCTCCAATTACGACCCCCCCTCCCGCCTCTCCCCAAATTTCGGTCCCCTCGTCCCCCTCAAATTCCCCTCCCCCCTCCAATCTCGCAACTCTCGCTTCTCGATGCTTGCGAATCTCGCATTCTCTGTCGTCAGTTTTCCAGTTTCGCCTATCTCGTAAGCCAATCACGCAAAACCAGCCCTACAGATCCTAAAGCTACACCACGAACCCCCTCAAATGTAGTCGCCGGCTTTAAAACCCGCGGCCCACGAGGTACGCGGAAAAGTCGTGTGAGGGTGTTTCATCTCACGAATTCGCAATTTGTCGTGGACCATCATATTTTCTTGCACTCAGTGCGACGGCTGAGATTACATTTCGATTGACTGGGGAAAACATTAGCTTGCGCACCGTCAAATGGAAATCCACAAAACATGGACGACAAAAAAACGCGAGACAATTGGTGTCCCAAAATACCTTCTGCGCTGAGCTTGAAAAACACCCCCGAGTGACGCGAGTTACGTTACCCCCATCTATAACCACGATGTTATGAATTAATCAGAATAATAACATGTAGTGTACTAGAGGATTCGTGATTCAAGAGTGTCGATACAAATGAGGGCCCAGGCATTTATAGGCACGAACAGAGCTAGCCGAGAACCACGCGAAGAGGTTGGGGCGGTCCGGTTGGCGAAAGCCACGGAAGCGCCGTGCGCAGGGCTGACGTTTCAAAAAAAGGCACTCTGAGCTGACCCCCCCCAAAAAAAAAATAGTCTGAATGGCCTTCAGCCAGAATTTAGGAACTCTGAAATGTCAGAGTCCAGAGATGTGCAACTCTGAAATTCTCAGGATCGCGCAAATATATTCAGGGTTACATTTTATGTTATTAAGAAGAGCTCTTTCTTGTGTATTACATTTTGCTACATTGGACAAGAGCCTACAACTACTACTACCAAGCAATCACTAGCTAACATGCTCCTAGAACTCCGGCACATCTACAGTAATCTCATCATCACCCCCCTCATCGTCGGACAGGAAAGGGTCGTCGCCTAATGTTGGAGCCGCATCATTCTCATCATCACCCCCATCCTCCTCAGCCCACCCCTCCCCCGCGTACTCTGGCACCTCCCCCTGTCCTTCATCCGTTGTGTCCCCCGCCACCTCACCCTCTAGGGCCTTCCCCTTGCGTTTTCGTTCCGCTCTTGCGAAGACAACAGATCGTGCTGGCCGTCTCAGCTTCTCTCGCCAGGTCGCTAGGGCTTCGGTCCAATTGATGTCATACTGCAGCAGCGAGATGGCCATCAACTCGGAGAGGCGCGCGTTGCAGAGTGAGCCACGGACCCAGGACTTAATCACATTCTGCCGAGAGAAGCCCCTTTCGCATTCGACGGTTGACAAAGGCAGCACGGCGCAGGCCTGCCAGAGGCGCATCAGATTGGGCCAGCGCCTGACACGGGGCACAAAAACAAATGCGGAAGAAAGGCAGTAGGAAATGCATACAGTGAAGGCGGATAACAAAAAGATGCGGTTGGCAAGGGCGGCCATGTTGTGCACACTTGGCAAGTAGAATGGAAGGTGGTGATTCAGAAACGACAATATGGTTGGACTTGCCTGCTCGAGTCCGTCTTCGTGAGGTAGTTTGCCAGGCCTTGGTGGAAACTCTCCACCTCGTGATGATTCTGCATGATCGGCGCCCAAGTTGCGAGCTCCCTCTCCGCTGCCTTCACGTCGAAGCCTGGCAGCTTGTGCTCGAAGATGCCGCTGCATCCAAGCAGATACTCTCTCGTCTTCTTCTCGCGCTGCGCCCGTTGTCTCGGCCACTTCGCCGCCACCCAGAGCTTCGTCGGCGACATCTTGCGCAGATCAAGCATCCGCTCTTGTACGTTGGTCATGGTATCCTTGGCGTGCTTCTGGCACAGCTGCACGCAGTCCTTGTAGCTGCTCCCGTACTGGTGCTTGTCGAGGTGCCGCTCGTGCATCTTGTGCGTATGGGTGACGGGGTTCCCCTCCAAGTCGATACCGCGCACCTTCACCCGCTTCGTTCCGCCGCGCCCGTACGCCGTGAGGAACGCCGAGAGCCAGGTGTTTTCGGCGCCGACACAGAAAATCTCCCCGAAGTCGACATAGCGGTGCCGCAGATCCCCCAGTGTCGCGTCGATGTCCGTTGCCACCTCTGTGACATCGACCTGCGGTGTGAGGGGGGGGGGACACAGAGGAGGGAAAGACATGAGTACTTGCACCAGAGGAGAACACCATGCTTGCAAACATGAGCATCTTACCTCTCGCTTCTGAAACTTGAGGTTGAGGTCGTTCATGAGTGCCAGCATGTCGGCCAGGTAGAAGAGGCAAAACTGAAACTTATACGAAATCACAACCTCATACAGGGGATGCTCATACTCATACAGCAGAACAATCGCCGCACCCAACACTTTACACAGGCGTCGGATTGCCTCTCCCCTGGACAACCATCGAACTTGATGGATGCCTTGAACCTCAAGGTTGGTGCTGTGAATCGCCCGCTGCAGATGCTTGAAACGACTGCTCCATACGCTCGACCGGCCGAGAAGGTCCGCAAGGGTGCGAGTGACTTTGTCGACCATGTCGAGGTCTGGACATGAAGCGGCAGCATCCTTCACAGCAAGTGCTTCTCTGCATGTACCGACATGGGTAGTGGTTAGCACACGGAAACATAAAAAGCATAAACAGACAGCAAGGAATACTTTAACAAACCTGTGGGCGATGCAGTGGGAGGAAAAAAGGTGCGGGATGATGTCTCGCAGTCGCGCCACAAGCCCGTTGTCTCGGCCGACCATAACCGACGCGCCGTCTGTGCTGATGCCAACGATGCGTTGAAGGTCGATGCCGGACGACTCCAGGTGGGCTAAGAGAGTGGCCATAAGAGAAGCGGCGTCGCACTTGTCAACGTTTAGCAGGGCTAGGAATTCGGTGACGACTCGACGCAGCCGCATGAATGTGATGTAGACGATCAAGTGCTTTCCCCGCGTGCGGTCGATGCTTTCGTCGCATGAGATGCCGAGGTAAGGTGAGCTCTTGATGTGCTCCATCTGAGTAGCCAGCAGATGCGTAGAGAGACAGTTGACCATCTGCTGGAACCCGTACCTGCAGTGGCATAATCAGAAATGAGACACTGGTTAATTAGCATTGGAAATGCATTGAAATTTACAAGGTTCATATCAACATCCAACCATCAACCGGCGAAAGCCAGGTAGCCTTACCTGGTGAGATACACTCCGTACGACTGGAGAGGTATGTCTGGTGTGTCTTGCTCTGCCATGAAACGAAGCAGCCGGGGAAACATGGCGATAGGAGCGTCGTTCTTGCAAAGAAATTCCACGCACCGCAAAAGACGGATGACGCGGCGGCCTTCGACATCGACGGTGGCGAAGCTTGTCATCTTCTGCTGCTTGTCTTCAATTTCTTTTTGAATCTCGAGCTGCCGGCGAACTGCCGCTTCGTGGACTGTCGAGTGTTCATGAATGCGCATCGTCTGTGTCTGGAGATCTCGCCCGCCGTCGCCTGGCCTTGAATACTTCGTCGTTTCTTTGCCGAAGGCTCGGCAAACGCTGCACTTAAGAGCGGGGTAGCCGTCTTTATTACGGGTAAGTACAAGCCATGGGAAATAACGCAGCCAATCATTCTTATACTTAGCCTCCGCGACTAGGTACTTCTGCTCGATCAATTCCTCTGTACTTAGCCTCGGTGGCGGCGGTTCATCAGGGCGGGTGACGGGGGTAGGTGAGCGCGGTGGTGAGGGAGGGCGAATCTGGCCACCATGGTTGATACGCTGCTGTGTATACTTCGTCGTACGTTGTTTCTTCGCCGAAGAGACAGTCGATGCGCATGGCACACTATAACGAACGGTAGAGGCAGTGGCGCAGTCAATAGGATCCACTGGTCTTCTGCTAGAAGATGCTATGCCTGGTGGGAGAAAGAAGGGAGCGGGGGCAGGTCTACTAGGCAACGATGGCTCATCGCGTGGGGTCTCGTTTACAACGGTTGTGGCGACAAAAGGCGGAGGAGCTGATGCGGCAACGGGCAGCAAGACGTCTAGGGCGCTCCTTGGCGCAACGACAGGAACCTTACTGCTGCACGGCTCATCACCGTCAGCTGGAGCATCGTCGTCGCCATCCTTTTCAGGCATGGTGAGAGGAGAAACGA